GTAATCAATATTGTTATGATGTATCATTAATTAACCATCAATCTCATGTTTTACAATATTATTATTTCACTACTTTGCTATTCAATGTATGGAAGAATCTAGACCTATAAATAATGGTGCAAAAGAGAGTTGAGATAGAAAAATATTTTAGTTCCCTAACTTATTTACAGTGCAAAAGAGATTTATTTATTTTATTGAAGAGAGGTGTATTTTTGGTGAAGTTTTGGACTTTTCAACTAATTAGAGTTGTTTGAATTAGAGCAACTTTTACATATAGCAAACATAAAAATCATATTTGTATGTTATAACTATATTTTTATGTGACGTTGTTAGGCTGTTATATCCTTGAGGAGACAAAGTAAGAGTTATACTGCTAATCAGTGTAGATTGTACCACAATATACTTGAATTTTCTTTAAAATAATGAAATATCCATGCATCAGCTTTAATGTATTTTTATTTATTTTATCTTTCAAACGGTAATTTTATAAATATATTCAATAACGTTAATTTTATGACCATGAAAAGTTTTCCAGGGAAAAAATTAAACGTCACATTTGAACTTTAAAATAGTAAATGAAAGGCAATTTGCAATTTAGAGATACTCGTATTATACATTAATTCACCAAAAATAAGATAAGATGAATAATTTGGGAAAATGAAAGAATTTAATGCTAAGAGAGAAGAAGCCCTAATTGAACTTTTCTACGTGTGGTTGAGAGTGTAGGTCCTAAACAGAAAATAGCCTCTCAAGTCATTGTCATTAATTTTAAATATAATTAATTGCATTGCTAGAATTAATTAAACAAATACATACTACAATTGGAAACTCTTTTGTACTATGACCATTCATTCTTTTTTTTCTCTAATGTTTCTTTTTTTGTGATTAAAGATTTCAAAACTCAAAAATCCATGCAGTGTGGGGCTACCAGTCTCTACATTCAAACACTTGTCATGGTAATTTTATACTAATATAAATGAGTACTATTTATATTTTAATTTATACTTCCTCCGTCCCATTTTTATAAATAATTGATTCATAATACTTGTCATTTCATAAAATCAATGCATAAATTAGCATATTGTTCCTTTTTTACCCTTGTGAGTTATTAGCATTGAAAACATACATTTGACCAACTTAGAAAAGTTAAGTAAATGATTCATGTTCATTAATTAAACTAATTAATCAAAATAAATTAATTCATATTCATTGATTGAAAACTTGAGTTCCAAAAAAATTAAATAAAGATAGAAGGGTAAAGTTGCATCATTTCTTAATGCAAGTGCAAAGTAAAAAGGTCACATCTAAAATAGGACGGAGGGAGTAACTATGTAGTTAGATTATATTCTAATTAGCAAATCAAAGAACTCAAATTTTAAAAATAACCTAATGATGAAAATTTTAAATGAGACAAATAAGATTGTTCTAGTATATTTTATTTTAAACTTACAAGTTCTTTTTCCAAACGATTAGGGTCATTTTGATAGTTGACTAGTGTTATGCATATATAGTAATAAATGAAATTTATGTACTATTATTTTATTTAGAAATTAATTATTCCCTTACAAGTCATAACTTATTTAATACTCCCTCCATTTTATATTAAGTTAATTTTTAAGGTGTTTCACACTCTTTAAGAAAAGTAGATTAAGATATAAATTGAACCTAGTTTTTCATTTTTATCCTTATTAATTATTGTCAAATTTATGATTAAAATAATTAAATATTAATTAATCACTAATTCTAATACTAACTAATGAAGGGTAAAATTGGAAGAACACTCTAAAAGTAGTCTTGAAAACTGAACAATTAAGTTAATTTGAAAAATAAAAAATGTCTCAAAAATTAACTTAATATGAAATGGAAAGAGTATTAGTTATGACGGTTTTTAAACGGTGAACCAAACATCAAATTAATTTTATAAATGATAATTTACCTCCTAACCAGGTATCAAATTTAATACACTCTGTAAAAGAAACGATAAGAGAAGACTTTATAGGTGAGTCAACGCTTCCCTCGGCGAGGAGATTTATAAAAACTCGGCATTGACGAGTGAAAGTATACGTGGCAGTCGTTGGTACAGAGAAGGCTAGCTGTAAAGCTCACAGCAGTTTCTCTTTAGCTTTTCCTTTTATTAAATTAAAAACTAATTTATCTTTTTGCAGTTTTCTAATGTGGGTCCTACTAGAATTGGCCAGCCAATAAATAAGGGCCAAAATTTAAAGAGCGGTGACTAAAGAGTAAATGAGACTCTCTAACCAACGACGACGTTGTAGTGGAGTGGTAAGTACTCATTCATTATTAATTAAAAATTTTGGATTCGAGCCTTCTTGAGTAGGAAATCGCCTATGTTAGAGAGTTTTATTCTCCAATGTAAAATTTTTTGGCGCAAATTCAAATTTAATCGAGCTTCAATGTGGATACCGGACACCGGACACCGGTGGAAAACCAAAAAAAAAAAAATGAGACTCTCTGCGTCTGAGCCGACGCCATCAAAGCTGAGACTGGCTCCAGCCTGGAATGCCATACGACCAATGAAAATATTACACGTGGGGGATAGAGGAATGGGGAGTTTGATTTGATGATGACAGCATGCTTCTGCTGTAATGACGATCATTTTATGGGAAAGATTAATTAAGTTAAGATAATGAATAAATCATTTATTTAATTTAATGGATTTCAATTAGTGCTCCAACGTTTTCCTGTTTTTCTTTGTCTCTTTCAAAATTTAAACTTGTACCAAACCCAATTATTACTCTATTAGATTATTATTTATAAAAACTTTTGAAGCATGAGTTTTGACTTTTTGAGTTATTTGAAAGCATATTATGTGCTTTATTAATACTCCCTCCATTACTAAGTTACTTCTATTTAATAAAGGTAGAATAATTTTTCCTATTAAATAGTATGCATACTTCTTAAAAGTTAATGGTATAATTTGTGACAATTTTTTTGAGCTAAATATAGTTAAAATGGGATGAAAGGGAGTACATATATGATTGTTGGTCCACCTTCAGTTAGGTGACCAGGTCTTATGATTGTGCTAGTAATAGAAAGTATAGTAAATGTTTAAAGAAAAGAACATCGAGAATGGCTGGGCTGGACTCTGCCTCATCCGCCCAGTTTCCACCACTTTCGAACAAAATTCACACTGGACAAAACGCAATCCCTAGTTCTCCATTTTTGAATAAGTTTACAAACATTATTAAAGGACATAATTCTTCAGGTAAAGAGAAAAATGTTGTGGAGGTACAACCTATTCCTATGAAAAAACCGAATCTCATTGGTGGTATTCCTACCATTAGTTGGTCAGCAAGCGAAATACAACGAATGAATATCTTAGAAAATTTACAGTATGCAGTGGTAGGCAAATTCTCCTATGGAGCTCTTGATATTAATGAGATACGAGATTTAATTCCAAAACAATGTGAATTATCGGGATCTTGTCAAATAGGTTTGCTTCGAAATAGGCATGTTCTGATCAAATGTGATCTAATGGAAGATTATATTAAAATTCTATCGAAAAACTCCTACTACATAATTGCTAAGGATGGATATGCATATCAAATGAGGCCTTTTATCTATGATGCAAACTTCAAAGCTGGTGAAGAGACAACAAAGGCCACGACCTGGATTTCATTCCCTGATTTGCTGCCAACATTCTTTGTTAAGGAAGTCTTGTTCTCACTGGCTTCTGTGGTTGGGAAGCCTCTTCAATTGGATCTTGCTACAATAAATAAGACCCGGCCAAGTTGTGCAAGAGTGAAGGTCCAAGTGCATTTGCTTACTGAAAAACCTGAGTTTGTACAAATGCAGTTAGAAGATGAAAACACTCTTGAGAAAAGAGTTGTTACTGTGAGAATACATTATGATTCTTTACCTGCATATTGCATGAAGTGTAAATTACAGGGGCATGGTGAAGAAGATTGTAGGGTCTTACATCCAGAGCTAGTACAACAGCACGAAGACATACAAAATACAACACAACCCATAGACAACAAACAATTATACAAGGGTGTAGTAAAGAGCATATGGAAGCCTACAAACAGGAGTTTTACAAAGAAAGTTGGGGAATTGATGACTGTTAAGGGACTGGAAAGGACAGACATCAACAAGAACAGTAATCTTTTTGCTATTCTTAGTCAAAATGTTCTAGTGGAGGAAGAGGTTGTAGATGTAAAGGTGCAAAATCAGAAGCAGATAGATGGGGTGAAGGATACACGAATTGAGATTACTCATGGGCTAACCAACAAGACTGAAGAGGAAATCGAAATTACAAACAAAGAAGATGGAGAAAGAATTGTGGTTTGTGGAAAAAATGATGGGGTGGTTTCTGATTACAGCAAAGCTATTGTGCTTTTTAATGGATGGGTTAACAGTGCAGTACAGAGAGGATAGGACAAGGAAGAGGAAATTTCACAGAATCAGTTATCTACTAGACAGAATCTACAACAAGCTGATTATCATGCTCCTTTACAGATTATGGACCCACAAGAAGCATGGTATCCTGTACAACTACAAGGTTCTATATTACAGGGAGGGAGTGAGGAAGATCACAATCTGAAAGAGCTGGCAGTGGTCTGTCCAAAATCACAACCAGTTCAAACATTACATGAAATAGTATCACATCAAGGGGTAATGGATGTACAGGGTAAAGGGCTCAAACAGTCTAGTGATGTTGAAGATACGGATGAAAAGGAGAACTTACAGGTTGAGAACATGGTGTTTAATGAAGCATGTGTTTCATCTGCTACAGTAATCACACATAAAGGCAAGAATAAATGGGAAGTGCTACCCACAAGATCAAATCCAAGGAAAGGGGCTAGAAATGGGGTCAAATGATGTTAAAATCCTTATTTTGGAATGTGAGGTCAGTTAGATCTCAAAATTCATTCCATAGAATTCAGATATTACATAGATATCACAAGTTTAATATCATAGCATTGATAGAACCTTTTCAGAATATTGATAACATTCAAAGATTTAAAAGAAGATTGGGTATGGAGTATTCTAACTATAACTGCAATGGTAAAATATGGGTGTTCATTCAAGAGCATATTCAGGTTGAGGTGTTGGCGGATTCTGATCAGATGCTGACTCTGAAATTGTTGTTTCTGGAGAATAATCAACATTTAATTGTTTCTATTGTATATGCAAAGTGTGAAGCTGAGGAGAGGCTGCAACTATGGAATGATATCTACTGTATTAGCAATGTTATTCAGAATTCACCCTGGCTGATTGGGGAGGATTTTAATGTCATCATGAGTGAAGAAGAGAAGATTGGTGGTCTGCCTATATATCCTAATGAGTATGAGGATTTTGCATTTTGTGTGAACTCCTGTGATCTGGTGGATATCAGTTTTAAAGGGAGTCCTTTTACATTGTGGAATGGGAGGATTGATGATCAATGTATATTTAAGAGACTGGATAGGTACACGATGAACCAGGCTGGTCTAATCTATTTTGGGTTGGTGGAATCTAAACATCTGGCAAGAACAGGGTCTGATCATGCTCCTATACTACTAACTTGTGGCCAGAAGACAGAGGTTACTAGGAGACCTTTCAGATTTCTTAAGTTTTGGTCAGAACATGCAGAATTTCAGCAGATAGTGAAGGATAACTGGGTTTCAGAAGAAGCAGATGTGTTTATTAGATTGAAACAAAAGATGAAGAAGACTAAAACTGCCTTATCTAACTGGAGTAGAGTAACTTTTGGAGATATTTTCAAACAGTTATCTATCAGGGAGGAGATTGTAAGGGTGAAGGAGGTGTTATTTGAAACAAGCCCTACAACAGAAAATAGAAAGATTTTACAGAAAGCCCAAGCAGAATTAAAAATGTATGTGCATTTTGAAGAAGAGTATTGGAGACAGAAGGCAGGTATTCAATGGTTTACAGAAGGGGAGAAAAACACAAGGTTCTTTCACAGTTTAGTGAGAGGCAGAAGGAAAAGATTGAGCATAAACAGAATTCAGAGTAAGGAAGGAGTATGGGTAGAAGGTGAAGAGCTAGTGGCTGTTGCTGCTCAAGAGTATTTTCATAAAGCAATTCACAGGCATTCAGACTATGGAGGTATCCCCTCTATTGAGATATATTCAGAAAAGGGCTATTGATGAAGACAACAAAAGATTAAATGATTATCCTTCAATGGAGGAAGTCAAAAAAGTGGTGTTTGATCTCAATGGGGACAGTGTTAATGGTCCTGATGGGTTTACTGGACATTTTTTCCAACAATGTTGGGATATAGTTAGGGATGATGTGGTTAATGTGGTTGGTGCTTTCTTTAAAGGTGTCACCCTTCCGAAGTCTATTACACATACTAATTTGGTATTAATTCCTAAGAAAGATATTTGTCAATCTTTCTCAAACATGAGGCCAATTAGTTTGAGTAATTTTCTTAATAAAGTGATTTCTAGGGTGATGAATGATAGAGTAGGGGTTCTTCTTCCATCCCTGATTTCACAAAATTAGTCTGGCTTTGTGAAAGGAAGAAACATCACTGAAAATGTGTTGCTTGCTCAGGAGATTATTTCAGATATCAGAAAAAGGGGTAAGCCAGCTAATGTAGTGATCAAGCTGGATATGGCAAAAGCATATGATAGGGTGGATTGGAGATTTCTTATAAAAGTGCTAGAAGGAATGGGCTTTGATGCTAATTTTGTTGATAAAGTCTGGAGACTGGTTGCTAACAACTGGTATTCTATACTTATCAATGGTCAAGCTACTGGGTTTTTTCATTCATCTAGGGGAGTGAAGCAAGGGGATCCTCTATCCCCTGCTTTGTTCATACTATCAGCTGAAGTTCTATCTCGAAGCTTAAATGCTTTGTTCTGTAATGAGGTGTACAAGGGATTTGGACTACCAAAATGGAGTGATCATATTAATCATCTTGCATATGCAGATGATACTATTATTTTTACTTCAGAAGATGGTAATTCATTAGATGTATTGATGAAAACTCTGAGAGATTATGAGAAGCAGTCAGGGCAGATGATTAATATAGAAAAGAGCTCTTTTTTTGTCTTTCATAATACATCACATGATTTGGTATCTAATATAGAAGTGAAAACTGGCTTTGCTAGAGGTAAGTTTCCACTAATGTATTTGGGATGCCCAATTGGTCATGCCAAGAAGAAGAAGGTACACTTTGCAGAATTGATGAAAAAAGTGCACAACAAGCTGCAAGCTTGGAAAGGGAAGATGTTGTCATTTGGAGGTAAGGCTGTGTTGATTCATAATGTGCTAAACAGCATACCTATTTATCATGTCTGCTATTAATCCACTGAGATGTGTTATTCATGATTTGCATAGAGTTTTTGCAAATTTTTTTTGGAGATTTAGGAAGGAAGGAAATAACAAGCATTGGGTAGCTTGATCAGATTTATGTAGACCAAGCATGAAGGTGGTGTGGGATTTAGATCTTTGTTTGATATATCCAAAGCTTTATTTGCTAAATTATGGTGGGGCTTTAGAACAAGAAAGACTCTTTGGTCTAATTTTATGTGGAATAAATACTATAAAAAGGAGAGACCTCAGGTGGTTGAATGGAAAAATGGATCTTTAACTTGGAAGTATATGCTGGAAGCTAGAGATTTGATAGATCAACATATTTGGTGGGAACCTAAGTGTGGCCATTCAAGTATTTGGTATGATAATTGGTCACAATTAGGTGCACTACATTACATAGTTCCTATAGACAGTGCTAGAAATGTGCAATTGGATGAAGTGAAACAATGCTTTTGGAATGGGGAATGGAACTATGATTTGCTTCAAACAAATTTTGGGAATGATATCAGTAGACAAGTTATACAACTCATGAGAAGTTTAGAAGATGAAGAACAATGGGATAAACCCTGGTGGATTCTACAGACTTCTGGAAAATTCATTGTGGGTTCTACATGGTATTTCCTAAGGGAGAAGCATGAGGTCTATTTGAAATATAAGTATATCTGGAGTGCAGGAATTCCTTTTAAGATATCTTTCTTCAATTGGAGGCTATGGAAACAAAGAATTCCTATTGGAGAAGTTCTTGTCAGGAACAGGATGAGTGATGGGGTAGTGTGTGGTTGCTGTGATGATGGAGTTCAGGAGACTATTGAACATTTATTTATTAGATGTTCATTCACTAATTTTATATGGAGATATTTTGCAGGATCGGCAGGTGTGGAGGGCCCTTTCTTGCAGTTGAAAGATACCGTGTATAAATGGTGGAATGCAGATGCTTCTGCAAAACTGAAACCCGTGTTAATGGTTGTGCCACTGTTTATTTGTTGGCAAGTGTGGAAGAGAAGAAATGCCTTGAAATTTGGTGGTTCAATGTCTTATCTGAGTATGCGAGAAGGGGTAGCAAATAATTTAATTCTATTGGCTAAGCAGTTGTATCCGTGGATGCATCACCTACCTAATAACTGGCCTGATTTGGTCAGATATTTGACAGCGTATACTCCTAGAATTGATTGTAAGGTGGTCTATTGGAAATTACCTAGACAGAATACATTCAAATGCAATACAGATGGGTCTTCAAAAGGGAATCCAGGACCAAGCTCTTCTGCTTTCTGTATTAGAGATGATCAAGGCAATTTTGTGTATGCTGAAGGAAATATGATTGGACTATCAAACAATTTAAGTGCTGAAATTGTAGCTATAAGACTAGGGCTGGAATATTGTAGGAATAACAATTTATTCCCACTGATTATAGAAACTAATTCTTTAGCTGCAATGAAAATGGTTGAAGGGGTTTGGCACAGACCTTGGGAGGTGACTATGGAGGTCAGAAGGATACAGATTCTGAAAGATGGATTGGAGGTGGCCATTGTACACACATTGAGAGAGGGAAACAAACTGGCAGATTTTATGGCTAATATTGTGTTCTCTTTTGCAGGTACAGATTCTATATGTTATAATGATTTCCAAGATCTACCTAGTGAAGCAAAGACAATTCTAAATATGGATAAAAGTCAAATTCCTAATCTAAGGATAAGGAAGTTTCAGAATGGAGATTTTGCACAAGATTGATGTTTCAGATAAGAACATACGAAGGAGCAGGTATTTCAGGCTTAAAAATACAACAGTCATACAATACTCTGAAGGTTGCGAGTGTAGTGAGTTATAATTACAAAGGCAATGAGTGAATTTCAGAACAAGGAAAAAACATAAACAGTTGCAGTACAACATCCATACAACACTCTGAAGATTACGCATATTGGGATCATATTTGGCTGGATAACGGTACAAAGCCATGAGCAAATTTCAGAACAATGACAATAAATAAACAGGTTACATGTTAAGGAAAATACCTATGAAGGCTGCAGTAACCTCGTTGCGAAGCTCTCGACAGTGGTATTAGCTCCTTGTTGAGCTCAACCTGCCAAAGCTAAGGGATGAAGGTTGTGAGATCAGTATTAGGTATATGATGAACAAATTTGCATAGGGAGTGAGGCTATCACCTGATTTGAAGTCTCGATTGAAGTACGTTGAGCTGGAGAAGTCTCCGATTGGGATGATTTCATGATGTTGGTGAGACTAGACAACGTTCGAGATGAAATACACCCCAAACTCATTGTACTATTGTTGTGGTTTCAAGTCACTGGAGGATGCTTGCTGGAATGAGCTCGTCAAAGATGGAGGAGGTTGCGCCGATCTTGCCGGTATAAGCTCGTCGACGATGGAAGAGTTGCGCTGGTTCTATTTCCTTTTCCCCTTTCCTTTTTGATGTGTTTTGTTTATATTTTTTTGTTTCCTAAATGACTGATTATGTGTTGGGTCGGGTCGGGTCTTCTTTGGGCCAGCTCTTCATGTAATGGTCCATTAATAAAAAAAGGGCTTGCCCATCTTTAAGTTTAAAAAAAAAATCATTAGGGAGAAAATAAGATGAGAGGAAGAAAAATATAATTATTCAATTTCATTAGTGGTGTCATTTTATTCAATTTGACCATTTATTTCTTCCATACAATTATATATGCATATTTAATAAAAGTTTCTAATAAAAAAAAAAAGAACATCGATCGATGTTCACGTGGAAACTTCCTTGCTTAAGAAAAGAAAATATTACAATCTGTCACACAGAATTTCTCAAAACTCTAACAACTTCAAGCAACTCATGAATACAAGCTCAAATTACTCACAAAGGATTAAACTCTTAATACTATGCACCTTGTAACACATCTATTATTACAAGACTCAAAGCACCAACTCTCACTACAAGAAAAAAGACCTTTTAACGAGGGGAAATTTGGTCACTAAAGGTATTATTCCGGTCGTTATTGATATATAACGACCGGGGAGAATTTGGTCATCACCGGTTGCTAAAAGCTCCGTCGTTAAAAGTTAACGACCGGATTACGAATTCGGCCGTTAAAAATCCTTTAACAACAACATGAAATCCAATTGTCATATTTTTTTAGTGACCAAAATTTCCTATCGTTGATTGCAATTCCAGTCGTTAAATAGTTTAGATTACAACAACAAATATGTTCATTATAAGTTCTTTCAGCAACATAATGTTACCTTTGTTAATTGTTGCAAACATTTAAACAAAAGTCCAATTATCCTATTATTGTAAAGATATATAAAAACTAAATGAAAATGTTAAAAGGAATATCAATATATATATATCCAGTCGTTAAACAGTTTAGATTACAACAACAAATATGTTCATTATAAGTTCTTTCAGCAACATAATGTTACCTTTGTTAATTGTTGCAAACATTTAAACAAAAGTCCAATTATCCTATTATTGTAAAGATATATAAAAACTAAATGAAAATGTTAAAAGGAATATCAATATATATATATCCAGTCGTTAAACAGTTTAGATTACAACAACAAATATGTTCATTATAAGTTCTTTCAGCAACATAATGTTACCTTTGTTAATTGTTGCAAACATTTAAACAAAAGTCCAATTATCCTATTATTGTAAAGATATATAAAAACTAAATGAAAATGTTAAAAGGAATATCAATATATATATATCCAGTCGTTAAACAGTTTAGATTACAACAACAAATATGTTCATTATAAGTTCTTTCAGCAACATAATGTTACCTTTGTTAATTGTTGCAAACATTTAAACAAAAGTCCAATTATCCTATTATTGTAAAGATATATAAAA